ACTGCCCCTGTCTGTACAAATCTGTGGCTGGCAGGGGTCTCGGGGTCGGGTCTGACTGCCCCTGTCTGTACAAATCTGTGGCTGGCAGGGGTCTCAGGGTCTGAACGCCCTGTCTCCCAGCAGTCAGTGACCAGCAGGCATCTCAGAGGTGGTCTGAACGCCCTGTCTCCCAGTGGTCAGTGACCAGCAGGGTCTCAGGGTCTGAACGCCCTGTCTCCCAGCAGTCAGTGACCAGCAGGGTCTCAGGGTCTGAACGCCCTGTCTCCCAGTAGCTCCTCAGGACTCAGCAAGGCTGCACGGACAGCCTGCTGGCTTTAGGGATTGTAACGGGGGTAAAGAGGTGGCAGAAGTAGGAGAGGGGCTTGTAGGGACCTCCCTGTATGTGGGGTTGTGGGTTTTGATGACAGGGCCCCCGACCAGAAGAACAAGATGATGGTCCGCCCCGCAGGGAGGAGGGAGAGACACCTGGCCCTGGCCTTTTTGGATTTTCTTACCCATGGGCAAGCTCTAGCAAGGGCGTGAGCCAGGCTGGCTATGAGGTTTCCAGGAGATTGTTTGTTGACTCACCTCTGTTACTTGGCAATCAAATTTGTAGCCCACCAACTTAGAGTTACTGCTGAGGGGACCTTGGGTTTGGCCAGTAAGCCTGGGACAAAAGGGCCAGTGTGAGGAGAGTGACTGCTGCGACCCCCACACCTGCCCACATTGATGCTGCAGGGGTGGTGCAGAGCTGACCCGATGGGCCACCCACTCTCTCCCCACTATCCACTCTGCCCAGCAGAACAGATGACCAACAGTGTGGCCGGTACCTCAGCTGGTGGGTCTTCTGCCCCTGCTATGAGGGGCAGCTCATTTCCTGTCGGCCGCAAAGTGACCTCTGGTTCCGGGCTGAAGTGCTGTGTGGGCTCCTCTTTGTGTGTGTCTGTCTGTGCACACGTGCGCATGTGTGTGTGTCATGTGTGTCAGATTATGACCATGGTCTCACCTCTTCCTGTACCCCTCTCCAGGTTGGGGTGACTCAGCAGGAACACCATCCGAGCGGGGCATGACATATGACGCACTCCACGTTTTTGACTGGATCAAAGCAAGAAGTGGTGACAACCCCGTGTACATTTGGGGACACTCCCTGGGCACCGGGTGAGTGTTTCCCACAGGTGCCCTGTGTGCCTTTAGGGCCCTCAATGGGCACCAGGTGAGCGTTTCCCGCAGGTGCTCTGTCTACATTTGGGGCACTCCTGGGTACTGGGTGAGCATTTCCTGCAGGTGCCCACGTACATTTCGGGCAACCCCTGGGGCACCAGGTGAGCGTTTCCCACAGGTGCCCACGTGCATTTGGGGCACACCCTGGGCACTGGGTGA